ATAATATATATATATATATATATATATATATATATATATATATATATATATATATATATATATATATATATATATATATATATATATATATATTCATTTAAGAAAAAAATAAACTATAAAAGGATTATGTAAAAACATTGTTTAAAACTTTGAAGGAAAAGAAAAAGCTATTGGGTCCACAAAAATGAAATGCTCTTAAAATCACTTAGACTTGCCTGTTTCGTTACTTTAGACACACTGACAACTTTGAGTATAAAAGCATAGTCGCTAATGGCGTTGTAATTTTTCCCAGCAAAAGCAAGGGCCTTCTGTACTTCAGGGTCATTGACGTCTGCTGGGGATTCCCCTCCAACATTGACTCCACGTTGCCCTTTTGTTAATTAGATGTTGAAAAGTTGATTTGTCAGTCAGATTATGGTTTATTCTTTTCAGTCAAATTATGGTTTATTTTTTTCAGTCAAATTATGGTTTATTTTTTTCAGTCAAATTATGGTTTATTTTTTTCAGTCAGATTATGGTTTATTTTTTTCAGTCAAATTATGGTTTATTTTTTTATAACACCAAAAAAACCCCCTAAAAAAACCAGTCCATTGCAAGGCTTGGAATTAACACTTACGGAAGCCGTGTTCCTTTCTGGCATGTCTCTGGGGTTGGCAATGTCCTCCGGAACAGAGGCGTCACTACGTTTTGTGTTACCCGTTGTGGTTAATTAATGGTGTCACCTAGCCCCCCCCCCACCCCAACCCCACCATTTTCCCCTTTAAGTGAGCATGTTTTGGTGTTGAGATTAATTGAGAAAATGTGTTGCTATAGTTTGTGTTGATGACGTTCGAAAGGTAGTGCTTTCAGAAATGTATATATATATACAGTGGCGTATCTAGGGTTGGTGTCACCCGGTGCGGTAAACTCACGGTGTCACCCTCCCCCCCCAAAAAAAAAACAAAAACAAAAACAACTTCAATGATGGATTTCTACTTGTTAAAATAAATACACTGTATAACAATGACAAGAACAAAATCAGATACATCGAAGGTCATGAGGTCAATATCTTTAAATCTGCAACAACGTTAAGTTATAGTTATTTTTACATTCAATTTACTTTATTTCAAATTGTCCTTTCCGTGTCTTCAAAGCTGCAAACCTGTCAATCACTTGATCGAAATCAATTTCATTCACTGTATCAATTCCAATTAATAGCAGAGCCGCATCAGAAAGCCTAGACTTTCCCATGGTGGATCATAAATATTTCTTGATAAGCTTAGTTTTGATAAGCTCCGGGCGCAAGAAGCCACATAGACAAATATTGTAAGAAAAAAATTAAAAGCTTAGCGTGAGTATTGGAGGAGATTCTAGGAGGTCCCATTCAGTTATGAATTTCAAAACATCAAATACTGACCAGTCCTTGAATTTGTGAAATTCAATATCAGCTGCCTTTAGATCTCTTCTAGGCTTTGGTATTTCTTTTAAAAATTCATCTTCTAATGAGTCATCATAGAAAGAGGTTAATTTTGGAACGGAAACCGATAACCCTTCTTCACTTGCTGATACTAGACTCTTGTGTCAAACAGTACCAAACATATCTGCTATTTCCTTGATCGCTAATGATCTGATCTGGCATTCAGAATGAAAGCAATCAATACAAGCCAGGATCTCCCTACTGTTTTCTTCTCGCAGAAAGAGTCCAGCATCAATTAATTGTTCTCCTGCCATTCGCTTCTTCAACCTTATTCTTCTCTCTACCGAAATTCCATATTGGTCTGATTTTAAAAGTGCTTTTTCAATAGCATGTTACACCAAGTGACGGCGCTTCACGTGGAGAATTTTTAGGCCTCTAGATTTCTCACCACTTTGTCAAGAGTAATGCCTTTAGTCTGCAGATACTGCTGTGTAAGATTAACTTCCTCGAGTAGATCAGCCCAAAGGTAAAGGTAGCATATAAACGTGAAATCACAGACAGCATGCAAAAGACCGTGTGCTGTACCTTTTGTATCTGAATATTCAAGAGGATTACACAGAGCTTCAATCACCGCCGCACATTCATCAAACTCATCTTTCACTGTTTTAACAGCAGCATGATGAGCTCTCCAACTCTTATCGACAGTCTTTTCACCGACATCCCAGTGGTGTGTTCAATTAGAACATTCCATCGATGAGTGGATGCAGCAAACAAGGAAACTATTCTTTCAAGAGTATCGAAAAATGTAATACATGAAGCATTTTCTGCAAAAGAGTGTTGACCACACAAGTTAAGTGAATTGCCCACACATATATTAAAAATTGCATTCTTTTAATATTTCTTTTCATAATGGCCTCAACACCTCCATGGATTCCAGACATTGTGGCAGCATTATCGTAACCTTGAGCTCTAAACATCATTTCTAGTCTAGAAAGTTTTAGATTTTTAAGAATTTCAGAGCTGAGGTCATCAGCTTTTTCCCCTCTTAAGGGGAAAAATGCAAGAACACATCTCTCACTTCAACTTTCCCATTATTGATTTTCACATATCTGATCACTTCGGACATCTGATCACTGTGTGATATTTCAGGTGTACTTTCGAACATAATTTCAAAATACCTTGCAGCCTTTAAATCCTTGAAAAGAATCTAATTCACATGATGTGCGAGGACATTTTTAAAATCATTTTGGGTTTCTTGTGTAAGGTAAGATGCGGATGCTTTTTCTGTAGATGTACTCGTCTTTAGTCTCATTTGGTGCTCTTTTAGCACTGGGTCATATTTAGATAACATGTCAACCATTTCAAGAAAAATGAAGTAAAGACTCAACTTAGTTGTGGACACGAAAGGCAAGATTTTGTTTTGCAAGAAACAATGTGATATCCAGCAACCTGCGCAGGATATCCCTCCACTTTTTCTTCTCCCTGCCCATCACAGCAATACTTTCGGCATCAGTTGTTTTGTGTATCCTAAGTTCTGCTGCCAATGCTTTCAACTTTTCAAGGCCACAAGGGGCTCTTCCAATGCCTCATGATTTTGTAATTTTGGCTCAGTTTCCACTACTTATGAAAGCCAGTAACAAATGTGGATGTTGTTTCTGTAACAATAACAGCAAACAATCTGCAGGAAAAACAATACAACTTCTGACTGACGAGTGAATAAACCATCCACGACCGCAGTATTTTCCTCCCATTTTGAATCATCCCTTAGATCCATTGATTTGTTTTAGCTGGCAAACACCTCATTTAGATTTCGCATTTAGCCTTGTCACTACGCTGAATAGTCCGTCCTTGTTCTGAAACGAGGTGCTTCATATTTTAATAGGTTCAGACCGAAAAAATTTCCCCAAAGGTATATGAGGTACGTATCTAGTGCATCTTTTAAAATGTGCCAGTTGTTGTCATTAACCATTACACGTACAGTATCATGGTTTGAATCAACATTATCACCAAACCATCCATGTCTTTGGATAGGTTACATTTATGAAAAATGTAAGTGTGATCGGTTATACTTGTATGAAAAATGTAAGTGTGATCGGTTATACTTGTATGAAAAATGTAAGTGTGATCGGTTATACTTGTATGAAAAATGTAAGTGTGATCGGTTATACTTGTATGAATCTCGGTTGTGTGTGCTCAGATTGCGCTGTAAATATGCAATTTTTCAATTGTGTGTCACCCCTAAAATGGTGTCACCCGGTGCAGTCCGCACCCCCCTCACTACGCCACTGTATTTATATTATATAGAGCTTGTTTACATAATTTTTCTCGTGCGTGCACTCTGATTGACCCCGCATGAGACGCTGTGTTCATACATGGGTGTGGCTTAGTCTTTTTATCTGTCGTGTTGATGCCAACAGCCACTAAAAATAATTAATCTGTTCCAAATAGTATTTTCTAGAATGATTGTGATTGTTCTAGAAACGTCATAAGTCTTTCAGGAAGGCAGGGCTTACGCGACCTTCTGGGATGATTGTCCAATACTGGCCAAAATTCTAGCCTACACTTAAGTTATCGTGATAAAGTTGGCTTTTAGACTCTTTCTTATCTATTTCCCTGAAAATAACATTGTCTCCCAATTTCAATAATCAAATTAGTAATATTTCTGAAATTGTTTACCTTTATTAATGAGACGATTTTACAAAGTAAACTTGAATATTTTTTGAAAGGATTTTAATAAGGCCCCAATTTAAATGATAGTTTTGGTATATGTTATGTCCATTTCCCGTGGGGGGGGGGCATTTTAAATTTGAAAAGACTAAAGCATCTTGTATTTGCATAGAATTCTAATATGACAACTTTTGAAGGTTAGCAGTTACCATCCCCAACCCCTCCCTTTTCAGCAATAATTTTGTCAACCAATTTATATTTCTAACACCAGGGCCACTTAATCATTTTACACTTTAAAAGGCTAGCTTACTATTGGTCTTAAGGGTTTCGATAGGGCTCTTCTTTGAGTGATTATTTGTGTAACTAATTGTGATTGGCCCAGCTCTTCATTTAACCGATATACAAATTTTAGGCGCAGAGCCGGTCCTATGCTTTCTGGCACCCTGGGCAAGCTTAACTTTGGCGCCCCGGGCAAGTTCAACTTTGGCGCCTCTTCAAAGTTTAATCATAATAAATTCTTGCTTGAAAAAAAACTATGGTTTGGTAATGAGTAAAATGTCTTTGGACAGTATGAACAATAATTAGTCTACTGTGGGCACTATTATCAGTTAGCCCACCGTGGGCACTATGATCAGTTAGCCCAACGTGGGCAGTATGATCAGTTAGCCCACCGTGGGCAGTATGATCAGTTAGCCCACCGTGGGCACTATGATCAGTTAGCCTACCGTGGGCACTATGATCAACTAGCCTACCGATGACATGTGTTTCAGTCTTTAGATCGGCAAATCTTTTGATTGCACTCTCTATTTTTCTTAGATGGTGCCCACATGCAATGCTTTGTATTATTTTGGAAGATCATTGATGGCGCCCTATGCACAGGATGCACCAGGCAAGGATATTGAAAGGGGCTAATTAAGTAACTTTCATGATGACACCTTACTTAATTTTTCAAAATTACCTTGAAAATGTATCAAATGATTTTTATAGGCCCCTCTCGAATAACACATTTTATGAAACCTTATGGACAAGACTGTTACATTAGACTTGACTCAATGTAATCGTAGGCAAAGCCGGTCACATAGTAAGAATATGAATATATAAATATAAATAAACATATATATATATATATATATATATATATATATATATATGAATTATATCTATATATATATCTTAGTGTGTATAAATAATATAAATATATATATATAAATAAACATATATATATATATATATATATATATATATATATATATGAATTAGATCTATCTATATATCTTAGTGTGTATAAATAGTATGCAGGCTCACCGATTGTATCATTAACTTGTGAACAGACCGGGTCACTGTATACTGTAATTTCTTCATCTCCAGAGAGCAATGACCTTGACCAAACCCCAACCGCACAGCTTTCCACCTGACAGACCGGGTCGATGATATGTCAGTCGTCAATGAAAAGGAAATGATGGGAAGAAAGGGGAAAAATAATTTAAAATTTTCATATGACATTTCAACAGTCGTCAGTATCAGTAATATGATACTTACGTACAGAAACATATTTTGTCAGCAGTAAGGACTCATGTCAGGCCGTATTGACAAATGGCAGAAAGTAATCAGACATTGAAGTAAGGGCCGACCGAGATTTTCTGATGTCGGCCGAACCCGAAATCTAAAGCTTAACGAGGCCGAAACCGAAGCAGAAACCAAAAGCTTAACGAGACTTTCGGACTAAACCGAAGCCGAAACGAAAAGCTTTATACGATTTTTGGCCGAAACCGAAAAATTTAGCTATTTTGAAACAGGTCGCGCTTACGCCTTCCTTACATCGAAAAACGATATGGTTAAGCATCGATATTTATATTTTTTTAATTGAACATGCGATTACCTTGAATTTTAATGGATTAACAACAAATGAAAAATTTGGCTTTTACCACTTGAATTAAAAAGTAAAGTTGTTGAAATGTATTTTTAAGAAGTTTGTAAGAGAAAATGTTCATGGGGGGGGGGGGGGGGGGGGGAAAAAATTAATGAAAAGGGGGGGGGGGGGGGACGGGGGACAAAATTCATGAAAAAATAGACATGAGTTCGTAATTTTTTCTCATATGAGCTATAGAAATAGAATTAACAACAAATACTCCTGCATAAATGAATGGATCTTGACCAAACTTAGTACGCATACACTTGATTAGCCATATTCAAATACGGAAGGGTACTGAACGCATAATATCCATTCCTCTGTCGCCGTGGACCCCCATGTCATTTTTTCTTTTATAAGCTCTATAAATATCAATTGGCTTAGACAGCACTAGAGGTTCTATGTTGAATTGCCGGATCTAGGCCTCGCTTGGTAGCAATCCATTTCATTGTCCGTAATGAAATGTCGGTGGATTTAAAACTAAGAATTTCCTTCTAGAATTTTCCAAAAGTTCTTTATTTTTAAATTGCTTTATTGTTATTAAACCGATTTTAATGGGACAACTTTAAAATTAAAAGTTTATTTATCTGACTGATTTATATAGGGCCCCTTATTTCAGGCAAAACTAAATCGGTATAGTTCAACTTAAATGTCCTAGAGCTATAATAGTGCCCTTAATTGTAGAATAATTTTACGTCATGTCATAGAAAATTCATGTTTACACGCTTCGATGAGGATATTCAATGAAATGTAGAATTTTTCAGAAAGTTCTATTTTGTTCTACGGCGATATATAATGGCGTTTAAAAAAAGCTCATTAAACTATTAGTTTAGCTTTATTCTTTTCTATACTTCATGGGGATTTTCTCCACATATCCCCTTCGTAGTACCACCTGGAAAAAATCCTACTGGGAACAGGATGCTAATATATATATATATATATATATATATATATATATATATATATATATATATATACTGGCCCATATACCCTTTGTTGTACGGGATTGCATTCGAAAGAACAACTTCTACAGCCTTTTAATTAACAATGAAATTAAGTGCCATGTCAAAAAAAAAAAGCAAAACATCTCTACAGTAAACAAAAAATTACAATAATTTGTCTCCTATAAAAACACATTTAAAATAACTTTTGTACACATTTCGTTCCCCGATAAGACATCGATCAAAGAAGGATTCCAATCTGAACCCGTATGCCGATGGGATCCCGTTTTCCGAGTTCATAACGTTATCCAGATTGATCCCGACCCCGTTTGGATCCCAATCCCAGTTGGATATCAATACTGATGGGATCCCCATTTCGATGGAATCCCGATCCTGATACCGGTGGGATCGCGATCTCGACTACTAGTGGGATCCGGATCCGGGTGGGATCGAGTTTCCCGAAAGTATCCCGATCCAGGTGGGACCTTTAGCATCCCAATTTCTTAAGAAACCCTTTTTCTGGTGGGATTCTGATCCCTCTGGATCCCAATTCCAGTGGGTTCCTGATCCCGTCTGTATTCTGATCCCGGTGGTATCCGTATCCCAGTGGAATCCCGATGTAGGTGTGTTTCTGATCCTGTAAATATTCCGATGCCTTTGGGGAACTCGACCCTGATTTGATCCCGATTCCGCTAGGATCCCAATCTCGGTAGCATCCAGTTTGCCAGTGGGATCCACTTCACTGAGTAACGGGTTGATCCCATTACCAGTGAATTCAGTTTACTATTGGATCGACTTAACATTTCAATGAGCTTTAAAGCCCGTTTTCTAACCCCGTAGATAAATACAGACATTTCTGGAACATTCTAGATTAAATTTAATATCCCCAATAAAACGTGGAAACAATTTTCTACGTAATTACTTTTCTAGCAAGAAAAATTATACAACTAAATGTACTGCTATAACTATACTACATTTAAGTTGGATTAGGTACTGCGTTGGGGGCCCATTCAATAATTGGACCAATTTAGTTTGCCTAAGTTTGGGGGTGGGGGGCCTATAAAAAAACGTTCGGTTAAATAATAAAGCTAAAATGTTAAAATTTAAAACTTGTCCCATTAAATCGGTTTTAAAAAATGCCATACATATAGCTTTTTTTAAATTATCGAACTTTCTAGAAAATTCTAGATTTGCCTCGAATGGATTGGACATTGTTAGTTTTATCCCACCGATATTTTTATAACAACAATTTATAGAGCTCGTATCAGAAAAAAAAACCTATTTTCGGGGCCCCCGGCCAAAAATGGACAACAGAAATTATAAAACCGTAACATTGTTGCCTAAAAAGAAATGCTTTTAAAAATCCTTGTACTAATTGTCGGTTCCGATAAGAAGAGTGGTTTTCAATCCCTGCTCCGCTAGCCCCACTGTTCAGGTGCTCCGGGGACGCTCTAGGAAAAAATTATATCATGATCATTAACCGGTAAGTTAAAAGGTGGGTCACGGTGGCTCCATCTCGAGGGACATATTTTGGTCCTAAGTAGCTGTCCTATTGTAGGACATTGGCTTAGCCTAAGTAGCTGTCCTATTGTAGGACATTGGCTTAGCCTAAGTAGCTGTCCTATTGTAGGACATTGGCTTAGCCTAAGTAGCTCCCTATTGTAGGACATTGGCTTAGCCTAAGTAGCTCCCTATTGTAGGACATTGGCTTAGCCTAAGTAGCTCCCTATTGTAGGACATTGGCTTAGCCTAAGTGGCTCCCTATTGTAGGACATTGGCTTAGCCTAAGTAGCTCCCTATTGTAGGACATTGGCTTAGCCTAAGTAGCTCCCTATTGTAGGACATTGGCTTAGCCTAAGTAGCTCCCTATTGTAGGACATTGGCTTAGCCTAAGTGGCTCCCTATTGTAGGACATTGGCTTAGCCTAAGTGGCTCCCTATTGTAGGACATTGGCTTAGCCTAAGTGGCTCCCTCACTCCCTTAGTGACTCCCTAACAGAAAAAAAATAAGATTCGTGAGACAGAAATTCTGTGAGAAACGTGTCTACTTTAAGTCGGCAACCTAAGGAGCAGCGGCGTAGCTGCGGGATGCGGGGGTGAGAGCCACACCAGGTGACACCATCTCGGGCCTGACACCTAACCGGAAAATGACATTTGTGCACAGCTCGCAATGCTCATTCGTAATGACTTTCATAAAAGAATGAAGGATTACACGTAAATTTTCGACGCATGTAACTAGAGACCGACCGAAAGTGATTTTCTGATTTCGGCCGAAGCCGAAAATATGCCGAAAGATTAAAATGACTTTCGGCCGAAACCGAAAAAATGCCGAAAGTTAAAAATGAATTTCGGCCGAAACCGAAGCCGAAACCGAAAATGAAATATTAAGATATTTTGAAATTCGTTCCCGCATACATTCTGCATACATCGAAAATGATGTGGGAAAGTATTCATTTTTTACATTCTTTTTATAAAAAATGAGATAATCGTGAATATTAATAAATAAACTTCTAATATAGGGGTCTCAAACTCGCGGCCCGCAAACTCATTTGTGACCCGCAAGACGATATTTTGCGGCCCGCTACATGACAGAAAAGCTTAGCGTTAATGCGCCGGCCCGTTTCCCCCATTCTCATATCTATAACATGACTCCGCGACGGTTTCAGTCGAATCTCACCAACTAGTCTAATTCTGATTTTTTTTTAAAAATGTTTTTATATATTTTTGTATACAACAGTGAGTAGGTGGATGAAAGTGAATCCTAGTTCTTGAGAACCCTTAATGATTTTATTGTTATTTATAAAGGTTGAGCAGATTGTAACAGTTGTAATCGCTTTTTGTGGATTTCTTGATGCGGCCCAGGCTCATTCAGACACTAACTCCTGCGGCCCCCCTGATGATTTGAGTTTGAGACCCTTGATCTAATGAATACCTTGGATTTTACCATTTTAATATAAAAGTAATTTAAATTGCTTTACAATTTTTTAAAATTAGTATGGTAAGATAAAATTTGGCCAAAAAAAATGGGGGGTGGGGGGGGGGGCAAATTAATGAAAAATATTATTTTTTTAAACCGGGTCTCTAAAAATTGTTGTTCTGATATGGTTCTAAAAGATCGCTTAATTGGTTCTGAAAGGTCGCTTTATTTGTTTTTAAAGATGGTTTAGTTTTTTGTTAAAGATCGTTAGTTGCTTGCTATTGATCGGTTAGTTTGTTCTTAAAGATCGTGAGTTTGTTCTTAAAGATCGCTTAGTTTTTTGTTAAAGTTCGTCCAGTTTTTGTTAATGATCGCTTTATTTTACTTAAAGATTGGTTAGTTTGTTCATAAAGATCGCCTAGTTTATTGTTAAAGATCCTTTAGTTTTTTCTTAAAGATCGCTTAGTTTGTTGTTAAAGATCGTCCAGTTTTTGTTAATGATCACTTTATTTGTTCTTAAAGATCGTTTAGTTAGTTCATAAAAATTGCTTAGTTTGTTGTTAAAGATCGATTAGTTTGTTGTTAAAGATCGCTTAGTTTGTTCATAAAGATCCCATAGTTTGTTGTTAAAGATAATTGATTTTTTCCTTAAGATCAATTAGTTTGTTCTTAAAGATCTTTTAGTTTGTTCCTAAAGAGCATTTAGTTTTCTGTTAAAGATCGCTTAGTTTATTCTTATAAATCATTTAGTTTACTATTAAAGATCATTTGTTTTGTTCTTAAAGATAATTTAGTTCGGTCTTAAAAATCGTTTATTTTGTTCTTTGAGGTCGTTTAGTTTGTTATTAAAGATCGCTTAGATGTTCTTAAAGATCGCTTAGTTTGTTTTAAAGATCGTTTAGTTTGTTCTTAAATGTCGCTTAGTGTGTTGTTAAATATCGCTTTCACTGAGTATTAGATGACCAAAAACCTGAGTCACTTTCGGCCGGATGGCCGAAAGTCTAAGTCAATTTCGGCTGAAACCGAAGAAAAACCGAAAATTAACTTTTCTCTTTCAGCCGAAACCGAAATTAAGCCGAAAGTTAACTTTTCAGTTTCGGCCGAAACCGAAACTTGGCCGAAAGTGATAATATGGCCACTTTCGGCGCCGAAACCGAAGCCGAAGCCGAAATTCGGTCGGCCTCTACATGTATCCTATCCAAATTGAACAAATTAGAATATTGGTGAAAAGTCTGTCAACAACAGGTTGGAGTTCTTATCATGCTGCTGTTAAAACGGTGAAAGATAAGTTTAATTAATGTGGGGTGACGATTGGGGCTTTATAGTCAATGTGATCCTCTTGAAAAAGTGAATACAAGAGGTTAAGCACAAGGTCTTTTACACGCTGTCTGGTATTGATGGCTTATCTGCTACCTTTAACTTTGGGCTGATCTACGTAAAGAAGTTAATCTTTATTACACAGCAGTAACTGCACACTAAAGGCTTTATTCTTGATAAAGTGGTGACCAAGTTTTTAATATTGTTTCTGCTCGAGAAGCACTGTGTTATGTAGCACAATTGCCTGTGCGTGAACTTTCCTCGACCTCGTAGTACACTCCTAGCAGACAGTAACGTCTGCTGTGGGCGTGGCTAAATCTCTTTGATGTAGCTTGTTTACAATCGGCTTCCAATTACGCATTGGGTAGAATGTCTCCGGGTACTTCTCGAATGTACTCCTTAACCCGAGATATGTAAACAACACGTTATAGGTCCTTCTGGAAGCGTCTTACGCTACATGTATATAAAGGATTGACAGATACGAAGAGACGGAGATTTAGATAGATTTTATTAACTTTACGAGGCGTGTTTTATTCTTTGTGTATTTGTTTATTTCGCATTATTCATTGGCACATTATTCTAACTGTGTTAACTGTGTACCGGTACAAGATCTACCATACTGTAAGTTGAAGATTGTAATTATATTTTCTTTTCTTTTGTAATTATCTTAAGAATTAATAAATCTTAATTAATTGTAACTAGAAACTGTTTTGGGTCGTATCTTTAATATTGTTGACTCTATGGTATCGTCCTTTGTTAGGCACTGTTTACAACGAGCCAAATTAAAATTAAAATAGGAGATTAATTTCTCCCAATACAAGTCAGTGCGTAAAAAAACTGTCACTCGGTAGAACATGCTATGGAAAAGGCACTTTTAAAATCACTTTTCAGTAGAGAGATAAGATTAAGGCTTAAGAGGAGAATAGCAGGAGAACAATTAATAGATGCTTGACTCTCTGAGCGAGAAGAACAGTAGGGAAATGCGGAAGATCACTTTCATTTTGATCATAAACGGTCAAGGAAGTAGCAGATATGTATGTTTGGGGCTGTTCAACCCAAGAATCTGCAATCAGCAAGAAGAGTTATTGGTGTCAGTTCCAAAATTAACCTCTTTCTTTGATGATCTATTAGATGACAAACTTTTAAAAGAAATACAAAGGCTTAGATGACACCTAAAGGCAGCTGATATTATATTTTACCAAGTGATGGAGTGGTCAGTATTTGATGTTTTGAAATTCATAGCTGCATAGGACCTCCTAGAATCTCCTTAAATACTCTCGCAAAGCCGTTAATCGTTTGTTACGATCTGTGTGTCTGTAGGTTCATGTGATCGGATCTTTTCAAAACTGAATAGCATCAAGAACTATTTACGATCCTCGATGGGATAGTCAAGGATTTCTGATTGGGCTCTACTATTAATTGAAAGTGATACTATGAAGGATATTGATTATGATCAAGTGATTGAAGGATTTATGGCTTTGAAGACAAGAAAAGGAACATTTTAAACTTAGTGTAAAAATAAGCCTAACTTTTCGTTGTTACAGTTCTTAAATAAATACGCCTACTGGCCGTGAATTAATTTGTTTGTTTTTTTGTTTATGTCATTTTGGACTAATTTTAACAAGAAGAATTCCATCAGGGAGGCAGGGGGGTGTGTGACAATATGAGTTTACTGCACCGGGTGACACCATAAGTTTACTGCACCGGGTGACACCATGAGTTTACTGCACCGGGTGATTCTATGAGTTTACTCCACCGAGTAACACCATGAGTTTACTGCACCGGGTGACACCATGAGTTTACTCCACCGGGTGACACCATGAGTTTACTGCACCAGGTGACACCATGAGTTTACTCCACCGGGTGACACCATGAGTTTACTGCACCGGGTCACACCATGAGTTTACTGCACCGGGTGACACCATAAGTTTGCTGCAAGGGGTGACCCCATGAATTCACTGCACCGGGTGACACCATGAGTTTACTGCACCGGGTGACACCATGAGTTTACTGCACCGGGTGACACCATGAGTTTACTGCACCGGGTGACACTACTGCACCGGGTGACACCATAAGTTTACTGCACCGGGTGACACCATGAGTTTACTGCACCTGATGACACCATGAGTTTACTGAAACGGGTGACACCATGAGTTTACTGCATCGGGTGACACCATGAGTTTACTGCACCGGGTGACACCATGAGTTTACTGCAACGGGTGACACCCTGAGTTTACTGCACCGGGTGACACCATGAGTTTACTCCTACGGGTGACACCATGAGTTTACTGCACCGCGTGAAAGCACGAGTTTACTGCACCGGGTGACACCATGAGTTTACTGCTCCGGGTGACACCATGAGTTTACTGCACCGGGTGAAAGCACGAGTTTACTGCACCGGGTGACACCATGAGTTTGCTGCACCGGGTGACCCCATGAATTCACTGCACCGGGTGACACCATGAGTTTACTGCACCGGGTGACACCATAAGTTTACTGCACCGGGTGACACCATGAGTTTACTGCACCGGGTGACTCTATGAGTTTACTCCACCAAGTAACACCATGAGTTTACTGCACCGGGTGACACCATTTTAAATTCCATTGTAACTTTTTAGGGGTTTGAGACTTAGTGAAACAATTTGTAGGGGTACACAATATAAGAACAATTTGTAGGGGTACACAATATAAGAACAATTTGTAGGGGTACACAATATAAGAACAATTTGTAGGGGTACACAATATAAGAACAATTTGTAGGGGTACACAATATAAGAACAATTTTGGAAAACGTGCGCTGGAGGAATATAAACACCGTTATTTTCTAGCGAAGATGGACTTCGTAAAGTGAGTAGTGCCATGGCCCAATGCTGAATTGGCACTCTGAATAATACATCTGAATAATATAAATGATTAATATAACTGAATAATAAAACTAAAGAAATATAACTCAATTATATAACTGAATAATATAAATGAATAATATAGGTGAATAATGCAAGGGAATAATATAGCTGAATAATATAACTGAATAAATAACTGAATAAATAGCTGATAAATATAACTGAATAATATAACTGAATACTATAAATGAACAATATAACTGAATAATATAACTGAACAGTATAACTGAATAATATAACTGAACCATATAACTGAATAATATAACTGAACCATATAACTGAATAATATAACTGAATAATATAACTGAATAATATAACTGAACAATATAACTGAACAATATAACTGAATACTATAAATGAACAATATAACTGAATAATATAACTGAACAATATAACAAAACTATGTGTAAGATTTCAAAAGCAATCGAATAAAACCCTTAAGATAAATTCTAGCTGTGCTTATTTAAGTCCACTTACCTTTGACCCTTGCGTGACCTCAAGGATAAACTTGTAACTGGTTCCAGAAACAACCTGGACACAAAGGTAACAGATCCGTTAGCGATTGTAAGAACGAAAAATGGAAGAAAGACTTTTACGGTAGGTTGTATAACAACTGCAATGACAACTATAAACTTTGTATGAGATCATCTTCTTTTAACACAACGATTACAACTGCAGTAAAGACCTCCAGTTAACAGATAGCATTTCAGCATTTCTTTAGCAATCGATGAACACAGATCCATCAAACACCCTGTACACAGTTCACCCTGACTGAGACATGCAACCATCCATCCCTGTGTCGCTACAGCCCATGTAGGGCTTTGGTCTGAATTGTTAATTCCTTCCACTCAGACCATTCATCCATTCCTGTGTCGCTACAGCCCATGTTGGGCTTTGACCTGAATTGTTACTTCCTTCCACTCAGACCATTCATCCATTACTGTGTCGCTACAGCCCATGTTGGGCTTTGGCCTGAATTGTTAATTCCTTCCCCTCAGACCTAGCTAATACTGTGATATACCTGAGATGTTGCACTGGTCACTTTTACCAACGTCCAGGGGACGTCAGCGCTTTTGACATTGTATTGATTGATGGCATCGAGGGCTTTCTGGACGAAGATGTTTGTGCCGTTCAACAGATCCGGTCTGTCTATGGGCCCGCCCGGTACGAGGGCTTCCACGGAGCCATAGGCCAGGGCGAAACACGAGAGAACTAGGAGCATCATGATGGCAGCTGTGAGACAAGAGAATGTTTGAACAAGTCTGTATGAGTAGGCTTTATAGGAATGCTGTTTTAGAAAAATGTATGAAAAGGCTGAATAGGAATGCTGTATTAGAAGGCTGATTGAAAAGGCTGTATACGGCTATAATATTTTAACAACAAATAAGTCCAAAACCAACATTATTATCTCCTTTCATACCGGTCAGATGTTGGTCTTTTAAGTACAACCGTAAATGCACCTCGAAGTAAAAATTGAGCATAACAATGCGAGCATCTGCTGCCCTTTTTTCTTTGAAAAAATTTGAACATCAAATATAATAGGTTTTTTTGCAGGTCTGTGTTATCTCTCTTCATAAATTTGTCTTTCAATATCGCCACGTTCTGTGGTTGAGTGTCTGCCCTTGTAAGTTGATCTAACTTAACATATCACCCTGTATGCGAGTGTACGTGTGTCATGATTTAAACATCGCCATGCATATAACTGTACGTGTCTCCTGTCTTAGAACATCCCTATGATATGAAGCCGGTAGTGAAAGATTCAAGCTTTGACTCAGGTAGTGAAAGACTGATGCTATGAGCCCAAAATTGAAAGACTGATGCTATGAGGCCGTTAGTGAAAAACTCATGCTATTACTCCGGTAGTGAAAACTAATGCCATGAAGCCGGTATTGAAAGACTGATGCTATGAGGCTGGTAGTGAAAACTAATGCCATGAAGCCGGTATTGAAAGACTGATGCTATGAGGCCGGTATTGAAAGACTGATGCAGACAGTCCTGCACTTTACCTGAAAGCTTTTAAACTATACGTCTATACATGGTCTCACTACACTCTACCTGGCTGCCTTTAAATAATAGACCTATACATGGTCTAACTACACCCTACCTGGCTGCCTTTAAAAAATAGAGCTACACATGGCCCCACTACTTCGTACCTGGCTGCCTTTAAACAAAAGACCTATACACGATCTCACTACACCCTACCTGGCTGCCTTCAAACAATAGACCTATACATGGTCTCACTACACCCTACCTGACTGCCTTTAAACAATAAGCCTATATATGGTCTCACTACACCCTACCTGGCTGCCTTTAAACAATAGACCTATAAACGGTCTCACTACACCCTACCTGGCTGCCTTTAAATAATAGACCTATACATGGTCTCACTACACCCTACCTGGCTGCCTTTAAACAATAAGCCTATACATGGTCTCACTACACCCTACCTGGCTGCCTTTAAACAATAAGCCTATACATGGTCTCACTACACCCTACCTGCCTGCCTTCAAATAATAGACCTATACATGGTCTCGCTACACCCTACCTGGCTGCCTTTAAATAATAAGACTATACATGGTCTCACTACACCCTACCTGGCTGCCTTAAAACAATAGACCTATACACGGTCTCACTAAACCCTACCTGGCTGCCTTTAAACAATAGACCTATACACGGTCTCACTAAACCCTACCTGGCTGCCTTTAAACAATAGACCTATACACGGCCCCACTACACCCTACCTGGCTGCCTTTAAACATTAGACCTATACACGGTCTCACTAAACCCTACCTGGCTGCCTTTAACCAATAGACCTATACACGGTCTTACTACACAATACCTGGCTGCCTTTAAACAATAGACCTATACACGGTCTCACTAAACCCTACCTGGCTGCCTTTAAACAAAAGACCTATACACGGTCTCACTACACCCTACATGGCTGCCTTTAAACTATAAGCTATGCATGGTCTCACTACACCCTACCTGGCTGCCTTTAAACAATAGACCTATACACGGTCTTACTACACCCTACCTGGCTGCCTTTAAACAATAGACCTATACACGGTCTCACTACACCCTACCTGGCTGCCTTTAAATAATAGACCCATACATAGTCACACTACACCCTACCTGGCTGCCTTTAAACAATAGACCTATACACGGTCTCACTACACCCTACCTGCGTGCCTTTAAATAATAGACCTATACATGGTCTCAATACACCCTACCCGGCTGCCTTTAAATAATAGACCTATGCACGGTCTCATTACACCCTACCTGGCTGCCTTTAAACAATAAGCCTATAAACGGTCTCACTAAACCCCACCTGGCTGCCTTTAACCATCAGACCTATACATGGTCTCACTACACCCTACATGGCTGCCGTTAAACAATAGACCTATACATGGTCTCACTACGCCCTACCTGGCATTCTTTGAACAATAGAACTATGCATGGTCTCACTACACCCTACCTGGCTGCCTTTAAACAATAGACCTATATACGGTCTCACTACACCTTACCTGGCTGCCTTTAAACAATAGACCTATTCACGGTCTCACTACACCCTACCTGGCTGCCTTTAAACAATAAGCCTATGCATGGTCTCACTACACCCTACCTGGCTGCCTTTAAACAATAGACCTATTCACGGTCTCACTACACCTTACCTGGCTGCCTTTAAACAATAGACCTATTCACGGTCTCACTACACCCTACCTGGCTGCCTTTAAACAATAAGCCTATGCATGGTCTCACTACACCATACCTGACTGCCTTTAAACAAAAGACCTATACACGGTCTCACTACACCCTACCTGGCTGCCTTTAAACAATAGACCTATACATTGTCTCACTACACCCTACCTGGCTGCCTTTAAACAATAGACCTATACACGGTCCTACCACCTACCAGCAGGCATTAAATAAACCATTAACCTACACATTCCTACACCGTACCTCTTGATGTCCAAACAGTAACTTAGTGACCAGACTGGTAGAGATGACCAAACAGTTTTCCACAAGTACATACCAAACGTTGTTCGGCTGCTTATATAGGGATCATATCTTCTCCACCCCCCCCCCCCCCCCCCTCCACACACAATATACTAGTTTAACCCTGCTGTTCTCTGTATCTTGGACTCGAAAGTCATTAACCACTGTTCACGTGGTTTAGTCAGAGGACGTGGCTTAAATCCCTGTTGATTTTCTTCACTTTTTCAACATCCCAGCACATAATCTTTGTCTTAAAATCCGTATTCTAGTCTTGCTGCTTCACAAAAGGATAGCACCATAAATTATTGACACAGGTACACACCTATTAAATAAAAAACTAAATTAATTATTGACTCAAGTACAAAACTACAAATTTATTAAATAAATCAGCTATTGACACAGGTAGCAATTTTCAAATTTATTAACTAAATGAACTATTGACACAAGTAACCACCTACAAATTTATTACCTTAATGAACTATTGACACAGGTACCATCCTAAATTTTAACAGGCTTCAGGTACATGACTTCCATAGAAATGTTGTAGCCGCCATTTTCACATGCTGTGGTGCCGGAGACACCGTCTCAATACACCGAACATCAATGATTCTCTCAGACAGTGGCGTAACTAGGGTCGGTGTCACCCGACGCGGTAAACTCATGATGTCACTCAACTCCCCCACCCCGACTGCCATGATCGATTTTTCTTTTGTAAAATAAAAGTCAATAGTATAACAATGACAAAAACAATTAATTGAAGGTCAGGAGGTAAATGTAAAAAAGTATAGTTATTTTTTCATTAAATTCACTTTATTTTAAATTCCCTTTATCCAAATCAGCAAACAAGTCAATCACTTAATCAAAATCAATATCCTTCACTTGACTTTCAATTCATAATAGATTTTCTGATGATGTATCGTGAAAATTTTTTGATAAGCCTCAGTTTTGAAAAGCTCCGCTGACATGAAGCCACAGACACACCGATCGTAAGAAACAATTGAAGGCTCAGCGACAGTATTGGGAGAGATTCTAGGAAGTCGCATTCAGCTATGGAATTCTAAACATCAAATACTGACGAGGCCATGACTTCGTTTAATCATTATCAGTTGCCATTAGGTCTCTTGTGAGTCTTGCTATTTCGTCTTCTTCTTCTTCTATACATTAAGGACCCACAATGAATGTATGTAGCATTATGTCTTCTATTTATATAGAGGGGTTTCGCGAAGCTTCTGTACCTGGTATTGAGGAATATATACATTTCGTTCGTTGCTGGGTCTACTTAGAGAGGGTATCAGGAACTGGGGTTTGGAAGGCCTGATACAATAGTGTCGAGTGTTATTGCCTCAACTGTTCCTTTAGGATGCTTGTTCCAGTTCCAGACTGGTTTGAGCAGTAATTAGCAGTTCCTGTATTGCGTTCTTGCTGTCATGTACCGGAAATGCCTAACATGGCTTTGACGATGACTACAAAAAGTGTGTGGGGGTGGAGAGGGACGAGTTTCTGTTTAATACTGGAATAGTTGACCAGCCTGGATATAATCGTCACCTTTTCTCCATTGGTGACGAGCCCACTGTTTCCAGCAAGTTGTTAGCACTTGAAGTGTTCCTGTAGCGGTTCATGGCAAAAGGTGCCACCCGTCGCTAGACCACTTCCAACCTGTCGATGCTTCTCTTTTAAAACTCATCATAGGAATACGTGCATTTTAAAACGGACACCGATAACTCTTCTTCACTTGCTGATATTAGACTCATGGGTTGAACAGCCTCAAACATATCTGCTACTTCCTTGAGAGATTAATTAGACACGAACAATTTGTGTCAATATAACAATATACTTTTAGCGTTAACAATAATTTTAGAAAATTCACAGGTATACGTTTCGGCACATGCTTTCATCAGTACAACAAAAAAAACAATTAAATAAGTATAAATTAAATTTACGTAATATTTATACACATATCATACGTAAAAAAGTGGAAGAAGAAATAAGAGTGGGTGAAAACAACAGACAGAAATAATGTCCGGAAAAATGGAAAGGAAGTGACATAGAGTAAAATTTAAAAAGCCAAACAGGAAGTAGACATGGTAGTTGCGTAAAATTGTGGATTTGTTTTATCCCGTATGGAGTCAACGTACCAAATCTTGTTATCGATTTATTCTCCATAGAGATCCTATCTAACGTGTTACTAGTATAAAGTATACCAGTAACTGCGATGTCTAAAAGACCATCATGGCTAGTGCTATTGAAATGTTTAGAGGCCGGACAGAGAGCCTGTTTATTTATGTCGTAGAGGTGTTCTCTGAACCGGTCTACAAAGTTACGACCTGTCTCTCCTACGTATAATTTACCAGACTTTTTACAAAGGATGGTGAAAATCACGTTGCGACTTTTGCAGGTAAAGCCATCTTTTATTCTGAATTTTTCCAGTGGGAAAGTGATCTTATCAACTTCAATCACATAAGGACATGTGTTACAACGGCTGCGGTTGCATTTTTTGGTGCCTTTATGTGCTTTGATAGCGAGGAGGTGGCTTCTAACTAGCATGTCCCTAGGGCTCTTGTCCATCCGGAAAGCGAAAAGAGGAGGTTGTCTGAACATCTCATTGGTGACCGGGTCTGCCATAAGAATTGAGCGGTTTTTCAGAACCAGAAAACGAGCTTAAAGGTTATAGGGATGAAAAGTTAAAATAAATTTAGACCTATCCCTGGCGTCAGAATGAGTGGCTTTAAAAGAATCCTGTCTAGTCATACCTTTAACTCGAGTGAAACCTGCTTTTAAAACTTTTTCAGGATATAACCCAACATTTCTGCCATCCATTCCCAAAAATCCTAATCATTGTTACAGAGTCTTTTCAGTCTCAGCAATTGAGAGAAAGGGATGGAGTTTTCACATGATTGAGCATGGGATGATGACTACAGTAAGAAACTGTGACTATCTAGTTTTCTTATAGAAAATGGAGGTATAAATGATAAATGATGAAAGTAAATTTTTAAGTCCAACAATTGATAGTACTTTTATGGATCATTGAAGTGAATTTGATTTAAAAATGAAAATGTCCATTGAAGTCCATAAAGCTTTCTAGTTGTGTTATTTCCATATTGGTAATCCCTGTGCAGTCATCTACGGATCTCCTGTAGTATTCTGGGAAAGGATCTTTGTAGTGTTCTCTTCAAAGATGTTCCAAAATGCCCAGAAATAGACATGCATAACTTGGTACCATTTTCCCCCATAGCAACGCCCTGATCTGATCAAAAAATTTGCAATTAAATTCAAACGAGTTAAGCTGTAAAACTAGTCCTGTCAGACGTACAAGGAAAATGTTTCGAAACTTAGGATCCTTGATGACTGCTGCTCTAATCTGATCTGGTGCTCCAATTGAAAGCGATCAATGCACTCCTGCATCTTCCTTCTGTTTTCTGCTCGCAGAGAGTCCATAATTTTGAATTGTTCTCCTGACATTCTCTTCTTTAGCCTTAATATTCTCACTACCGAAGGTCCCTAATCTTCTGATTTTAAATAGTCCCTTTTTAAAAGCGAGTTACATCAAGTGACAGCGGTTCTCGAGCAGAAATAATCTCAAGGCCTCTAGGTGGGTAAACATTGTGTTAAGCATAAAGCCTTTAAATACTGATATGTAAGATTACCTTCATCAAGTAGATCAGCCCGAAGGTAAAGGTAGCAGAGAAAAGTGCAATCACAGACAGCATCAAAAGACCTTTTGTGTACCTCTTGTATCCCCATTTTCAAAAGAATCAAAGAAAGCTTCAATCGCCGCCACGTATACTTTAAAATTATCTTTTATTGTTTTAACAGCAGCACCCTAATGTGTTGTTGCCAGTCTTTTAATCGACATTCAAATGTGTTCAATTTAAACATTGCATGGATTACTAGAGGCAACGTAGAAAAATATTCTCATGAAGAATTTGTGTCAAAACACAAGTTAAGTAAATGGGCCACACAGAACAGTGTTGACCAGACAAGTTAAGTGAATGGGCCACACAGAACAGTGTAGATCACACAAGTTAAGTGAATGGGTCACACTGAACAGTGTTGATCACACAAGTTAAGTGAATGGGCCACACAGAATAGTTTTGACCAAACAAGTTAAATGAATGGGCCACACAGAACAGTGTGTACCAAACAAGTTTGGTGAATGGGCCACATATTCTTTAAAATTGCTTGCTTATTATCAGTACTTCTTTTTGCCTGAACACCTTCATGGAATCCACACACGTTAAGTGAATGGGAAAACCGAGCAGTGAATAACTTTCAACCAGATTTGCTCTATGAATGGGTAAAATACTTGGAGCGGTACTCCAATAACTGTCATCTGGCCTAGCTCTATGAATGGGTAAAATACTTGGAGCGGTACTCCAATAACTGTCATCTGGCCTAGCTCTATGAATGGGTAAAATACTTGGAGCGGTACTCCAATAACTGTCATCTGGCCTAGCTCTATGAATGGGTTTTAAACTGTCAGGAGGGAGCGACTTTTGAAAAAACATGACAACATTTTACGTAACATACAAAGTATCCGCTCATATTTGGAAAAAACTATTCTGAGAATATTATGTATAGAGTTCTCTGAAATGACATATGAACTGCTAATGGTGATCATTAGGTTGTTTCTAAATCTACTTTGTGACAAGTTTCCTGTCTTTTTTTTTGGTGTCAAATGGGTCCTTTGAGATTTAAAACATGTTAAAGTGAAGAGCTCAAGGTTACAATAATGCTGGCCACTATGTAAGGAGTCAATGGAGGTCTTCAATGTTGCCACAATGTAGAGAGTCCATGAAGGTGTTCAGTGCTGCCTCATTGTATGTAGTCCATGGAGGTCTTAAGAGCTACCAAACTATATGGAGTCCATGGAGGTGTTCAGTGCTTCCACAATGTATGGAGTGCATGGAGATGTTTAGGGCTGCCACAATGAATGGAGTCCAAGAAGGTGTTCAGTTCTGACACAATGTATTTGTGATCCGAGTATTCAGCCCATTCATAGAGCAAGGCCAGCTGAAAGTTAT